ATATTTTCAGTAAGTAAAATAACTATACCTCCCCCGCTCTGTGTGCTGTTAGGCAAGAATAATTTATCATGCAACGGAGGAAAAACAGTTTATCACCTGCTGTAAGAACATCTTGCTGCTTGCATTTCTATGTATTTCTTTGGTATTTTTAAAGGTGACTGGAAAAGCTCTTTTTAAAAACAAAATAATAAAGTTAATACTACTGTATTCCTACTGTATAGTATTTTCTATCTTTGATATCCTGCACATATAACAACTTATTCTTCACAATTCATGAGGTAGGTATTTATTATACCCCTTTTTCAGATACAGGGGCTAGAATCTGCATTCAGTTACACTGGTATAAATTGGAAGTGACTCCAGGGGTGTTATCCTGGATTTACAGTAGCAGAAGATCAGAATCAGGCCTGGAGCATTGAAATGATTTGCCCAGCGACACACAACAAGGCAGTGGCTGAGTTGGGGCTAGAACTCTGGAGTCTCCTAGTCCTGTGCTCAGTCCGTTAGGCTATTCTTCCTCCTAAAGCTCCCTCACAAATTACAGAATATATGTATATATTTAAAATAAATACATGTGATAACACAACTACTGTCCTTTAATCATCTTCCACCTCCTGCGTTTGTATTTTGTCTACAATGGCTAGTGACACAGAGAGCACTGCAGGCAGTGCGTCTGCCTGCATTGTAGCAGGGTTTAGGAATGTCATGAACTAATGCAAGAGAAGCACCGTGCCCTGAACTCATGTCTTGGCAGTCTCACTTTTAAGCACTTTACTTATTTATAATAATAGTAGGAGCAGAACTTTTACCTTTTTAGCTTTTCCCAGAAGGACTGAAAACTGTAAATGAACAAATTGCAAAAAGAGAGCAAAACATTTCACTTTCACACTGCTGAAGATTTGAGATGAAAAGGACACAAGTGGTAACAAGCCCTGTGTTAATACAATTATACACCTACTGGTGAGTATAGCACATGGCAGTCTTCACACCAAAGTACTTGGGTCTCAAAGGTACTATTTGTTGCCTTCACTTTTTTTTATCCTCCCTCAGTATAACCTATTTCTTTTATCATGGCTTGTGATGCATTGTTATTTGCTCACATCAGTATGTCAGATCTAAGGTAAGCAAAGCAAGCTTGATGATACAGGTGGTACAGATGGGTGATCCTCAGCTGAAGAAGAGACAGTGGAGTTATAAAGCTTCACACCAGCTGTGGCTATGTCCCATTGTTTTTTGCAATCCCTTGATCTGTATTGCCATCAGAAAGCTGTGGGTTAGAGACATGAGAGAGCACTCTGCACTCGTGAGCCTCAGGAGAGTTTCTTTAAAATCAACAGTGAAATGTCTGTCACTCAAAAAAAGTGAAATAATAAATAATAATAATAACAATGACAGTGAAATAAATAGCACAGTAAGTGGGTTCTCTATGCTCTTCCTGACTTTTCTGGTCCTCAGCCACATCAAATTTAGGAACTAGGGCAGCTTCTGGGCTTGCTTTTCATCCTGAGTAGAATGGAGTCACTGGTTTGGTGGTTTTGAAACATTCATGGACAGCTGCCAGTAATTGTAGCTCAAACATTGTTATTCTTTCAGCTTGGCAAAACGGTCATGAAAATTTACCAGCTCAGGCACGAAGTCTTCATCACCTAGTTATCAGGATGATGATAAAGGGCATGATATTTACTCACCTGTCAAAAAATATTATACAGCTTGAGGCGAGCGAGACAGTGGAATTTTGTAAGGCAGTGTTATATTAACTTGAACCAAAAAGCTTGTCCACTGGTTTGTTAAGGAACCTTGCAGTGCTCCTGGATGCTACAACCTTAATTGTATTCTACACAGACAATTGATTGTCTCTTATTTCTGTCCTTTATCCTCCAGGAAGATGACGTTACCCGTGACAGTCGCTTCAATTTCAGTGGTTACGGGATGGGACACTGTCTCCAGGTCAAAGACGGCACCGCAGTCAAGGCCACTCCTCCAAACCCCCCTCTGGCGCCACCAAAGGATTCAGAGTCCATCAGAAAGAAGTTTGTTGACCGTGCAAAAAGGATTGATACAATATCCCGAGCTGCGTTCCCACTAGCCTTCCTCATTTTCAATATCTTTTACTGGATTACGTACAAAATTATACGGCATGAGGATATTCACAAGAAATAGGCAACTCTCTGGGGGTGCTGGGACCTTGTAGCCAAAGCGATTTGCTTGTAAATAAACAGTGAAATGTCTTTCTGTCATTTGGACTGAGGATTTTTTTTCACCCATGCTACTGAAGAGAATAAGACAAAAAAATGGAACGGAAGCAAAAGCATAGGAAAAAAGTGATTGACAGCAAAAACAAGATGCCGTGGGACCATGCAATACGGATCCCCTTACGTACACTCAGTATTGTTCTTCCAGATTCTGCATTGATCAGACGCTCTTAAACAGGGCCAAATTTTACTCAACAATGTCACTAAGATATTGAAAAAAATAAAAACAACCGACCAACCTAAAACACCTACTATGGGACTGTACTGGCTACAGTACAGTGAGTTATAAGAGGACCAAACTTATTCAGGATAATGCTGCCTTTCTATTTGAAACAAGTCTACTGAGCTACATTCCATTAAAATGTCTGTAGTTAGCAGTTCACCAAGAAGTCCTTTTGTGCGTTGTAACTTATTTCTACTAACAGGGAAAAATGATTTATACTTTAATATCCTTGTGGGTGTGCATTTTAATATTATCTTGCTTTATTAGAATTGTAATTTTGGGGTCAAACTTGTGTATTGTGCTATTTATTTGATAGCTGACACTCATAGAAACCAGTTAAACTGCCCATTTTATTTTTGTTCTAAGAGAGTGCACTTATTTCATTTCATTTCTGCTGTTTTTACATGCAACTTGAGGTGCCAAACTGTATTTTACCTGTTGTGCTACCCTGTACCACACTATTTATTAAGAACTTGTTTCCTGGCTGGTGTAGCTCAGTTTAGCATTGACTTTCTATTTCTTTCTATTACTGCTCTCATTGTAGCTGCAATTGATAGCTCTGTAGGTAAACACAACTTGTTTACAGACCTCTAATTTATATCTTTACTCGAAGTGGCGATCATTTTAAATATCATTGACTAACCTAAGAATTTTAAAACTGTACTGTGATTTTCATAACCTGTTACCTTTTGGTGCCAGAGCTACGTGGTTCAAATCCTTGCTACATGTTTTAAAGTAGAAAAAAATAAAAATTGAAATAAAAAAAAGGTATTTTTGCTTACACAGAAAAAGAAACTAAGATAAAACATAACAAGATCATTAAAAATTTTACACTTGCTGTAAAAGCATTTATTAAAAAAGTTATTTGTTCAATTTCAATAAAGCTAAGTGTGCTACTAATTTTTCTTTTCTTTTCAAGCTCTTTTTTCATTTGGGGTAGTGCTATTTGCAATAAAGGCCAGATTCTCAGTCACTCCAGCAGCAGAAAAGCGACTTAAAGCAGCACCTGGGGGAACTCTAGGGAGGCCTACTTTAGTCCTCCTGAACTCCCCACCCCCACCCCAGCAGATGAGGGACTCCAGGGAAGGCTAGGGGTTGAGTATGGATCTTAACATACTTCCAGCAGTCCTGTTTGAGCAGAGCCTTGAGGGCTCTTAGCCACCAGCACAAGTTATATTGGCTCTGTAGTGCCTTTGAGGAGAAGTGTGCCACCCAGGCAGACCCCTGTACTGCAGGATATGAATGGAGGAAAAGGAGACCCTTCCCCATAATAACCTGTAGCCTTAGGGGAAGGTACACTGAACTACAAGTAGGGTGACTAGATAGCAAGTGTGAAAAATCGGGATGGGGTGGGGGATAATAGGACCCTATGTAAGAAAAAGTCCCAAATATAGGGACCATCCCTATAAAATCGGGACATCTGGTCACCCTAACTACAAGCCAAAAGCCTCTTGGCTCTAATCTTCTCCAAACTGGTCTTAATATTTCTGTGCACTTCACAACTTTAAGGGCTCACATACCCCTACCTTAGGGACTATCACTTGCCCACTTAACAGCTGAGGCCTGGTCTACACTACGAGTTTAGGTCGAATTTAGCAGCGTTAAATCGAATTAAGCCTGGACACGTTCACACGACAAAGCCCTTTTTTTC